ATATATATATATATATATATATATATATATATATATTGCAATAATAATAATGAATAAAATAATATATATATAGTGTATATATAGTAAGGATGATATATATATATATATATATATATATATATATATTATAAATACGATATGACTACTTATATTACACAGAATAGTCACCATTGAAAACGACTTAACGTTTTATTTTACAAAATTGAGACTTAAAGTAAATAATATAGATGTAGGCCAAAATTTGTATTTACATGCATGTCAAAAATGCATACAAAATAGATATATCTATAATAAGATAGAAACCACATAAAGTTTGATGTATGCTACAATTTAATTAAAGTTGTCACGAGAATTTAATTCCAAAGAAGAAATGTACCCTGAAAAGCTAAAAAAGAATTAGGAGAGTTAGACTGAATTATGCTAAAGCACAGGAAATAATTTACAAATATAGTAACAAAGCAGAGTGTATTAACGGTATTCAACTGTATACCCGTTTGCTTTACAGAAGTGTTATGATATCATTGTTGATTTCAACAACACAGAAGAATGTGTTATTACAGTGCTTACTTTACTGTCTATCGATATTCTTATAAACAGCATCTAATACATTTTTAGGGAAGAGTATTGCATCTGCTGTCTGGCGTAAAAATGTAGTGATCACTCTGGATCTCCAGATACATGGCATCCACGTCTCTATCTGTTGGAACTTGAGCGCCAAATGATCGTCTCCATAACACTGAGTGTCTTTTATTTGGCAATGGTAACGTTAGACGATCTTGGGGTTCAAAGTAAACATCTGGTTGACCTACAACATTATCTTCTTTTTTTGAACAAATGCAGAAATAATAAACAGGAATAATGATAGCAAATACAATTACAATAACCAATACAGATACAAGAGCAAGTAAAACAGACAAAGAAATGCTTTTCTTTTTAGATTTTTTATCATTCGTTGATTCAATTGCTTTGGTTTTTGGTTTTTCATTTATTCCATTGTCAGTATCAATTACTTCCATAGTCACGTGATATGTCACCTGACCCACATTATTCCTTGCCGTACATTTTACAATTAATCCATTGTCGCCAATATTCACACGTAGAATGCGCATAACTTGTCCAATATCGTCAATTTCATAACGATCAATACTTAAAGGCGGGTCAAATTGCCATATAAAGTCTGTAACTGGTGGGTTTGCATTGGTTTGACAAATAAATATGGCTTCTCTTCTTGAGAGCGTAGTACCTGCATGTTGAATGGTGATGCTAGGTTTATACCACACATTTAATGGCCCAAAGCTACAATTCCTGGCAATGCTAGGATCAGCTGGTGTTGTTAGTTGACAAGTGAATATAGCGTTATTATCATCAGTATTAGCTATAAATGAATATGTAATAGGCGTTGTCTGCCGATAAAGCAATACTTCGGTGTCGGTGTGGATATCTGTTACATATTTCAATAATCGTAACTCTGTGGGTGGGTCTATAGCATCACCTGTACATTTCAATTTCACACGACTTCCTTCACGAATTTGATTGACTGTTGGATCACATATCGGGTACATAGGGTCTGGCAGTTGATTAACTTTGAGATGTGCGACTTCCGATTTTACGTCAATTCCATTTTGATATACAGCGCATACGTATTTTCCTGAATCACTGTACATTACATCAGGAATCTCAAGTCTATAAGATGTATGTTCTCCTGATAACATTGAAATTGCGGTTCGAACATCTCTATGTAAAAGTTGACCACTAGCCTTCAAAATGATCTTGCCTTCTGTTATTTTTTGTCCATTCCGAATCCAAGATAAAGAACTGTCAGGAACCTGCTCTTCAAGAACACATGTCATTTCTACTCCGACACCCTCGATCACCGTTTCATTCCGTGGATGGTACTTAAATTTTAGAGCTTCCATGATAGTGATTAGGTTTACAAAAGAAACATACCTTAAGTACATCCTCATGGTTATGGGCACGTTTATCAAGATACAATCACCATCAATGGTTAAAGTTTACTTACTAGGCCTGTGTATATACTTAACAAATTAGCGAAGCAATTTTGCTATGAATAACGCATCAACGATATTCAATGTTATGTCAATGGCTCGCTTCATATTAATTAGCTTACATGCCCCGCCCAGTTAGAATATGTTATTATAATTATGGCTATTCATATACTTTACGTTGTTACACAAAACCTTTGACTAATCCATTGATTACAATTCAGGGAAGAGTATTGCACCTGCTGTCTGGTGTGAAAATGTAGTGATCACTCTGGATCTCCAGATACATGGCATCCACGTCTCTATCTGTTGGAACTTGGGCGCCAAATGATCGTCTCCATAACACGGAGTGTCTTTTATTTGGTAAAGGTAATGTCAGACGATCTTGAGGCTCAAAGTAAACATCTGGTTGACCTACAACATTTTCCTCTTTCTTCGAACAAATACAGAAATAATAAACAGGAATAATGATAGCAAATACAATTACAAGAACCAATACAGATACAACAGCAAGTAAAACCGATAAAGAAATACTTTTCTTTTTAGATTGTTTATTATTCGTTGATTCAATTGCGTTGGTTTTTGGTTTGTTTATACTCCCATTATCAGTGTCAATTACTTTTATAGTCACGTGATATGCCACCCGACCCACAGTATTCCTTGCTGTACATTTTACAATCAATCCATTGTCGTCAATGGTAACACGTAGAATGCGCATAACTTGTCCAATATCATCAACATCATAACGATCAATACTTAAAGGCGGATAAAATTGCCACATAAAGTCCGTTACTGGTGGGTTTGCATTGGTTTGACAAATAAAAATAGCTTCCCTTCCTGATAGCGTCGTAGCTGCATGTTGAATAGTGATGTTAGGTTTATACCATACATTCAATGGTCCAAAGCTACAGTTTCTTATAATGCTTTGGTTAGCTGGTGTTGTTAGTTGACAAGTGAATATAGCGTTATTATCACTAGCATTAGCTATAATTGAATGCATAATAGGCGTTGTCTGCTGATAAAGCAATACTTCGGTATCGGTTTTGATATCTGTCATATATTTTGATAATCGTAACTTGATGGGTGGGTCAATAATATCACCTGTACATTTCAATTTCACACGATTTCCTTCGCTAATAGGATTGCCTATTGGATCACAAATTGGGTAAATTGGGTCTGGCAGTTGATTGACTGTGAGATCCGCGGCTTCTGATTTTACTTCGATTCCATTTCGATCCACTGCGCATGCGTATTTTCCTGAATCACTGTACAATACGCTACGAATCTCAAGTTCATAAAACGTAGATTTTCCCGATAATGGTGAAATATTAGTTATTACATCACGATAAAGAAGTTGACTAGATTCCAATATATTTCGGCCTTCTGTTATTTTTTGTCTATTCCGTAACCAAGACAAGGAACGGTCAGAAACCACCTCTTCAAGGACACATGTCAATTTTACAGTGGTGCCTTCGATAACTACATGATCTTGAGGATTGTGACTGAATTCTACAGCTTTAATAATAGATATTAAGTTTACAATAAAAGCATACCTTAAGAAGTACATCCTCATTTGGTTATGGATACGTTTATAAACACCATAAATATTCAAAGCCAATGCATGGGTATATCCGTAATGGTTTAGATGAAGCAATTTTAGTCTAATAGCACATCAACGTTTGCTACCAGTACTATGACAATGAATCGCTACATATTCATTAGCTTAACTGTCCCGCCCAATTTGAATAATTTATTATAATTATGGCTATTCACATAGGCGACGTAGTTAACTAAAAACGAGTTGATTAAACCAAGAAATTCAGGGAAGGGTATTGCATCTGCTGTCTGGAGTGAAAATGTAGTGATCACTCTGGATCTCCAGATACATGGCATCCACATCTCTATCTGTTGGAACTTGGGCGCCAAATGATCGTCTCCATAACACGGAGTGTCTTTTATTTGGCATTGGTAACGTCAGTCGATCTTGAGGTTCGAAGTATACATCAGGTTGAGCTACAACATTGCCCTCTTTTTTTGAACAAATGCAGAAATAATAAGCAGGAATAATGATAGCAAATACAATTACAAGAGCCAATACAGATACAACAGCAAGTAATACCGCTAAGGAAACATTTTTCTTTTCAGATATATTATCATTCGTTGATTCAATTGCGTTGGTCTTTGGTTGTTCGTTACTTCCATTGTCAGTGTCAATTACTTCTATAGTCACGTGATATGTCACCTGACCTACACTATTCCTTGCCGTACATTTCACAATCAGTCCATTGTCGTCAATATTAACACGTAGAATGCGCATAACTTGTCCAATATCATCAACATCATAACGATCAATACTTAAAGGTGGATAAAATTGCCACATAAAGTCCGTTACTGGTGGGTTTGCATTGGTTTGACAAATAAAAATTGCTTCCCTTCCTGATAGCGTCGTACCTGCATGTTGAATGGTGATATTAGGTTTATACCATACATTCAATGGTCCAAAGCTACAGTTTCTTAAAACATTATCGTCAGCTGGTGTTGTTAGTTGACAAGTAAAAATAGCGTTATTATCATCTGCATTAGCTATAAATGAATGTATAATAGGCGTTGTCTGCCGATAAAGCAATACTTCGGTATCGGTGTTGACATCCATCACGCATTTTGATAATTTTAACTTGATGGGTGGTTCAATAACATCACCTGTACATCTCAATTTCACACGGTATCCTTCGTCCACTGGATTGACTATTGGATCACATATTGGGTAAATTGGGTCTGGTAGTTGATTAACTGTGAGATGCGCGGCTTCTGATTTCACTTCGATTCCATTTTGATCTACTGCGCATGCGTATACTCCTGAATCGCTGTACAGAACGCTACGAATCTCAAGTCTATAATAAGTAGACTTTCTCGATAACAATGAAGTTCCTGTGTCAACATCACGATTAAAAATCGGACTAGATTCCAAAATCTTTCGGCCTTCGGTCAATGTATTACCATTCCGAATCCAAGATAACGAACTGTCAGGAACTTCCTGTTCAAGGACACATGTCATTTCTACAGTTGTACCTTCAATAGCAGTTATATCCTGTGGATGATCTCTGAATTCTAAAGCTTCCATGATAGTGACTAAGTTTAAAAAAGAAACATACCTTAAGAAATACATCCTCATGTTTATGGGCACGTTTATCAAGATACAAACACCATCAATATGTTAAAGTTTACTCACTCCTGTGTACATATTAGTGTGAAGCAATGTTGCTATGAATAGAGCATCAACCTTAGTCACCAATATTATGCAAACTACTAGCTTCGTATTAATTAGCTTACATGCCCCGCCCAGTTAGAATAATTTATTATAATTATGGCTATTCACAAAGATTACGTTGTTACTTCAAAAGGCTTTGAGTAGTCTAGTGATTACAATTCAGGGAAGAGTATTGCATCTGCTGTCTGGAGTGAAAATGTAGTGATCACTCTGGATCTCCAGATACATGGCATCCACGTCTATATCTGTTGGAACTTGGGCGCCAAATGATCGTCTCCATAAAACTGAGTGTCTTTTATTTGGCAGTGGTAATGTTAGGCGATCTTGAGGTTCAAAGTAAACATCTGGTTGACCTACAACAGTGTCTTCTTTTTTTGAACAAATGCAGAAATAGTATACAGGAATAATTATAGCAAATACAATAATTATAACCAATACAGAAACAACAGCAAGTAAAACAGATAAAGAAATGTTTTTCTTTTCTGATTTTTTATTATTCATTGATTCAATTGCGTTGGTCTTTGGTTTTTCAGTACTTCTATTGCCAGTGTCAATTACTTTCATAATCACGTGATATGTCACCTGACCCACACTATTCCTTGCTGTACATTTTACAATCAATCCATTGTCGTCAATATTAACACGTAGAATGCGCATAACTTGTCCAATATCATCAACATCATAACGATCTATGCTTAAAGGTGGATCAAATTGCCATATGAAGTCTGTTACTGGTGGGTTTGCATTGGTTTGACAAATAAAAATTGCTTCTCTTCCTGATAGCGTCGTACCTGCGTGTTGAATGGTGATATTAGGTTTATACCACACATTTAATGGTCCAAAGCTACAGTTTCTTATAACGCTTTGGTTGGCTGGTGTTGTTAGTTGACAAGTGAAAATAACGTTATTATCACCAGGATCAGCTATAAATGAATGTGTAATAGGCGTTGTTTTTTTCTGATATACCAATACTTCGGTTTCAGTGTTGATGTTTGTCACATACTTTGATAATCGTAATTTGATGGGTGGGTCAACGACATCTCCTGTGCATTTCAATTTCACACGAATTCCTTCTCGAACTGGATCTATTGGATCACATATAGGATAAATTGGGTCTGGTAGTTGGTTAACAGTGAGATGCGCAGCTTTTGATTTTACTTCGTTTCCATTTTGATTTACAGAGCATGCGTATTCACCTGAATCACCGTGAAGAACGCTACGAATTTCAAGTCTATAATAAGTAGACTTTCTCGATAACAATGAAATCACGGTATTTACATCACGATTAAAAATTGGACTAGATTCCAAAACCTTTCGACCTTCTGTTAATTTCTTACTATTCTTTATCCAAGATAACGAACGTTCAGAAACCACCTCATCGAGAAGACATGTCATTTCTACAGTTGTACCTTCAATAGCAGTTACATCCTGTGGATGATCTCTGAATTCTAGAGCTTCCATGATAGTGACTAAGTTTACAAAAGAAACATACCTTAAGAAGAACATCCTCATGGTTATAGGCACGATTATTAATTAAGATACAATCACCATCAATTTGATGAATGCTCACTACGCCTGTGTACTTAACAAATAGTGAAGTAATTTTGCTATAATAGCATCAACGTTAGTCACCAAGTTTCAAATGGCTCACTTTATATTAATTAGCTTACATGCACCGCCCAGTTGGAATATTTTATTATAATTATGGCTATTCATATAGGTTATGTTGTTGCCCAAAAAGCTTTAACTAATTTCGGATTACAATTCAGGGAAGAGTATTGCATCTGCTGTCTGGAGTGAAAATATAGTGATCACTCTGGATCTCCAGATACATGGCATCCACGTCTCTATCTGTTGGAACTTGGGCGCCAAATGACCGTCTCCATAACACGGAGTGTCTTTTATTTGGCATTGGTAATGTCAGTCGATCTTGAGGTTCGAAGTATACATCAGGTTGAGCTACAACATTTTCGTGTTTTTCCGAACAAATGCAGAAATAATAAACAGGAATAATGATAGCAAATACAATGACAAATACCAATACGGATACAACAGCAAGTAAAACTGATAAAGAAATACTTTTCTTTTCTGATTTTTCTTCATTCGTTGATTCAATTGCGTTTGTCTTTGGTTTTTCATTACTCCCCTGGTCAGTATTCATTACTTTCATAGTCACGTGATAAGTCACCTGACCAACACTATTCCTTGCTGTACATTTTACAATTAATCCATTGTCGTCAATGGTAACACGTAGAATGCGCATAACTTGTCCAATATCATCAATATCATAGCGATCAATATTCAAAAGCGGATAAAATTGCCATGTGAATTCTGTTACTGGTGGGTTTGCATTTGTTTGACAAATAAAAATGGCTTCCCTTCCTGATAGCGTCGTTCCTGCATGTTGAATAGTGATATTAGGTTTATACCATACATTCAATGGTCCAAAGCTACAGTTTCTTATAATGCTTTGGTTAGCTGGTGTTGTTAGTTGACAAGTGAATATAGCGTTATTATCACTAGCATTAACTATAACTGAATGTATAATAGGCGTTGTCTGCTGATAAAGCAATACTTCGGTATCGGTGTTGATATCTGTCCTATATTTTGATAATCGTAACTTGATGGGTGGGTCAATAATATCACCTGTACATTTAAATTTCACACGATTTCCTTCGCCAATAGGATTGACTATTGGGTCACAAATTGGGTAAATTGGGTCTGGTAATTGAATGACTGTGAGATCCGCGGCTTCTGATTTTACTTTGATTCCATTTCGATCTACTGCGCATGCGTATTCTCCCGAATCACTGTACAATACGCTACGAATCTCAAGTTCATAAAACGTAGATTTTCCAGATAATGGTGAAATATCAGTTATTACATCACGATAAAGAAGTTGACTAGATTCCAAAATATTTCGGCCTTCTGTTATTTTTTGTCCATTCCTTAACCAAGACAAGGAACTGCCAGAAACCACCTCTTCAAGGAGACATGTCAATTTTACAGAGGTACCTTCGATAACTACTTGGTCTTCAGGATTGTAACTGAATTCTACTGCTTTCATAATAGATATTAAGTTTACAATAGAAGCATACCTTAAGAAGTACATCCTCATTTGGTCATGGATACGTTTTTATAAACACCATCAATATTCAAAGCGAAGGCCTGGGTATATCCGTAATGGTTTAGATGAAGCAGTTTTATTCTAACAGCACAAAAACGTTGGCCACCAATACTATGAAAATAAATCGCTTCATATTAATTAGCTTAACTGTCCCGCCCAATTTTGAATAATTTATTATAATTATGGCTATTCACATAGGCGACGTAGTTACTAAAAAAACGTTGATTAAACCAAGAGTGGCAATTCAAGGAAGGGTATTGCATCTGCTGTCTGGAGTGAAAATGTAGTGATCACTCTGGATCTCCAGATACATGGCATCCACTTCTCTATCTGTTGGAACTTGGGCGCCAAAAGATCCTCTCCATAACACAGAGTGCCTTTTATTTGGCATTGGTAACGTCAGTCGATCTTGAGGCTCAAAGTATACATCAGGTTGAGCTACAACATTTTCCTCTTTTCTTGAACAAATGCAGAAATAATAAACAGGAATAATGATAGCAAATACAATTACAAGAACTAATACAGATACAACAGAAAGTAATACCGCTAAAGAAACACTTTTCTTTTCAGATTGTTTATTAATCGTTGATTCAATCGCGTCGGTTTTGGGTATTTCCTTTATTTTAGTACCATTGACATTCATGGTCACGTGATATGTCACCTGACCCACGCTATTCTTTGCTGTACATTTTACAGTCAATCCATTGTCGTCAATAGTAACACGTAGAATGCGCATAACTTGGCCAATGTTATCAATATCATAACGCTCAATATTTAAAGGCGGGTCAAATTGCCATACGAATTTTGTTACTGGTGGGTTTGCATTGGTTTGACAAATAAAAATGGCTTCCCTTCCCGACAGCGTCGTACCTGCGTGTTGAATGGTGACAGTAGGTTTATACCACACATTCAATGGTCCAAAGCTACAGTTCCTGACAATGCTAAGATCAGCTGGTGTTGTTAGTTGACAAATAAATATAGCATTATTATCACTGGAATCGGCTATAAATGAATATAAAATAGGCGTTGTTCGCTGTTTCTTTAGTACATTTGTATATTCAATGTAACCTGTCACAGATTTTGATATTTGCAAGTTAATGGGTGGGTCAATAACATCACCTTCACATTTCAAATTCACACCGTTTCCTTCATGAACTGGATTGACTATCTGTCCACATAGCGGGTAAATAGGATCTGGTAGTTGATTGACAGTTAAAATTCCTACTTCAGATATCAACTCTACGCCATCTTGATGTACTGCACATGCGTAGTCTCCACTATCGATCTTAAGTACAGTATTAATCTCAAGTTTATAAGTACATGCCTCAGCTGATCTTATTGTATCAATATCTAGATCCCGGTTGTGTAGAATATTTCCAGCTAGAATAGAAGTGCCCTTCGTAATCTTGATTCCATCTTTCAGCCATGATAGGTCATTTACGTCCAACACGTTCCCAGAAATTAAACAGAACAGCTCAGTACTTGACCCTTCTATTGCAGTCTCGGTTTCAGGATGAAACATGAATTCAAGTGCGTGAAACTCTTTGTAGAAAATCCAAAATAATATAACGTTAATAATATTCAGCCGTAGATAATTCATGGTTTATAATGCTGTTTCAAAATATCATCCGTTCAAAACATATTATAAACTACCCATATTACAATTTTTCTTGCTAAATTACCAATTTGTTTTTACAGTAGAATAAAATACACTCAATCGCAACACTACATAGTGGCAAAGTAATTGTATACCGCACCTCATCATCAATAACATATGCAAATCCCTCCCTAGTAATGAATATGTATGAGGTGAGTGGAACAACATAAACAATCTTACGTTATTCCTCACAAGTTAATATTCTTCTAAAAGGGCCTAATGTTATATCACATACATTTCTTTAACATAATTATTTATTCATCTCATTAACATACTGGAAATAAATAAATGAGTCGAATTGATTAATAGTACCATAGACTAAAAACATTTTCATAGAGACTTCTAAAATTACAGCAAATTAAAAAAAATAATTAAATTCATAAAATATATACACTTTTATATGCCAATAGCATCAATCTTTTAATTTTTCGTTTATGAACTTTGACATTCAAACAAAATTGTGCAACTCTGTATATTCAGGGGAGAGTATTGCATCTGCTGTCTGGAGTAAAGATGTAGTGATCACTCTGAATCTCCAGATACATGGCATCCACGTCTCTATCTGTTGGAACTTGGGCGCCAAATGATCGTCTCCATAACACTGAGTGTCTTTTATTTGGCAATGGCAACGTCAGTCGATCTTGAGGCTCAAAGTATACATCTGGTTGACCTACAACCGTTTCCACATTCGTCGAACAAATACAGAAATAATAAACAGGGATTATGATAGCAAATACAATGACAAGAACCAATACTGATACAACAGCAAGTAAAACCGATAAAGAAATGCTTTTCTTTTCAGATTGTTTATCATTCGTTGATTCAATTGCGTTGGTCTTTGGTTTGTTCTTACTTCCATTGTCAGTGTCAATTACTTCCATGGTCACGTGATATGTCACCTGACCCACGGTATTCTTTGCCGCACATCTCACAATCAGTCCATTGTCGTCAATGGTAACACGTAGAATGCGCAAAACTTGTCCAATATCATCAATTTCATAACGATCAATATTTAAAGGCGGGTCAAATTGCCATATGAATTCCGTTACAGGTGGGTTTGCATTGGTTTGACATATAAAAATAGCTTCCCTTCCTGATAGTGTCGTTCCTGCATGTTGAATTGTGATATTAGGTTTATACCATACATTCAATGGTCCAAAGCTACAGTTCCTAACAATGCTAGAATCAGCTGGTGTTGTTAGTTGACAAGTGAAAATAGCATTATTGTCATAGGGATTGGCTATAAATGAATGTAAAATAGGTGTTGTCCACTGATTCTTCAATACCTTTGTATCTTCCTTGATACCCGTGACGGATTTCAATAATCGTAAGTTGATGGGCGGATCAATGACTTCACCTTCACATTCCAAATTCACACGTTTCCCATTGTATATTGGGTTTGTTATCTGTCCACATACAGGAAAAATTGGGTCTGGTAGTTGATTAACAGTGAGCGTACCTATATCTGAAATAAATTCTTCATTACCTTGGAATACTGCGCATGCATATTCACCCTCGTCTGATTTTTCTGCATTACGAATGACAAATTTGTAAGTTGAAGCATTGACCAGTTCTGTTATATCTAGGAAAACATCACGATCTTGAAGGCCACTTAAGTCTAAAATAGAGCGTCCAGCAGTAATTTTTTTGTCATATTTAAGCCATGACAGATTGTGATCCAGCACACTTCCAGAAATAAGACAAGACAGTTCAACGTCCTTGCCTTCGAGCACGGTCTTGCTCTTGGGATGAAACATAAAATGAATGGCAATAACTTGATTGCGGAGTGTCCACAATATAATTATGGTACAGATTAAACGTTTTCGGAAATCCATTTTAATGTTAATAATATACCGCTTCTTCAAAACTTCAAGAGACTCACACTAAACAGGTTGATCTTCCATTGTCCTTTGTAAAACCTTGTACTATTATTTAAAGTAAAACATACACCATTATAGTCGCAAACACCTTTGTCAATGAATCATACGTAGAACGTATCATAATCTATGTGTTTAATAGCTCCTCCTCAAACATGAATATGCACTATTAGAATAGCACAACGGGAAAAGTATTACGTTACTCATAAATCGTCATTTCACAATGATACTAACCAAAATCATTGGAAGTAATGTTTTATTGCAAGTTTTAAAGTGTTTTTCTTATAAATATGGTTTAAGTCCCTCAGCAGAATATGTTATCAAGATCAACGTCACTATTTGATGTCCACCCATCTTCTAAGCTAAACTTATTACTTTCTGCAAAAAAAGCTACCGGTACTGTTGTAAAATGATGTAATATTATTTGTTTAATGAATATCGCAAAGTATTTCCTCTGCTATCTGGTGTAAAGATGTAATGATCACTCTGTATCTCCAAATACATGGCATCCACGTCTCTATCTATTAGAACTTCAGCGCCAAATGATCGTCTCCATAACAATAAATGTCTTTTATATGGCAATGGTAACGTCAGTCGATCTTGAGGCTCAAAGTTGAATATATGCGTGTTTATTCTATAAGCATTCTTTTCTTTCAGTCTACAGTAATACGAAAGCCACCAAGACTGGAAGTACGAGAGATTTACAAATCATTACACAGCTCCTCAATATAACAGATTCAAGAGCTCCTTCTCATTCGCATAAGAAAATTAAGTTAACGTTACTCATAAAGCAACACAAAATTACAAATCTCAACATTGTGGTTCCAAGCAGTGGCGTTGATTGTATTTCTTTTAAGCCGGTGGCGCACACTGCGCCGACGGTCATCTGTCTGCGGGATTCCATGGAGACGATAGTGCACGCACATCGGATCGTTTTTAATGACGATCTGTTCAAACTGCCACCAACAATCCACACAGTGTCGTACCGTCAAGTGTTCATAAAGAAAGGATATAGCTTTGTCGGCGACGGTGTTTGGTCGTCGGCCGATGATATGTTTATCAAGATTTATCTAAATCTGCAGTATACTCTACTTCCATATTTATCTTATATTATACAGTAAATAACAGAACAGAATTAGATTAACAGCTAATAAAATTAACCTGCTAATATCTCGTTAAGAATTTGATATTAAAAAAAACAACAACAAAACAAAACAAAAAAAAACACTGTGCAACTTTGTATAATTAGGGCAGAGTATTACATCTGCTGTCTGGAGTGAAAATGTAGTGATCACTCTGAATCTCCAGATACATGGCATCCACATCTCTGTCTGTTGGAACCTGGGCGCCAAAAGATCGTCTCCATAACACTGAGTGTCTTTTATTTGGCATTGGTAACGTCAGTCGATCTTGGGGCTCAAAGTATACTTCAGGTTGAGCTACAACATTGCCCTCTTTTTTTGAACAAATGCAGAAATAATAAACAGGAATTATGATAGCAAATACAATTACAAGAACCAATACGGATACAACAGCAAGTAAAACTGATAAAGAAATACTTTTCTTCTTAAATTTTTCATTATTCGTTGATTCAATTGCGTTTGTCTTTGGTTTTTCATTACTGCCCTGGTCAGTAGGCCTACCAATTACTTTCATAGTCACGTGATATGTCACCTGATCCACACTATTCCTTGCTGTACATTTTACGATCAATCCATTGTCGTCAATGGTAACACGTAGAATGCGCATAACTTGTCCAATATCATCAATATCATAACGATCAATTTTCAAAAGCGGATCAAATTGCCATATGAATTCTGTTACTGGTGGGTTTGCATTTGTTTGACAAATAAAAATGGCTTCCCTTCCTGATAGCGTCGTTCCTGAATGTTGAATTGTGATACTAGGTTTATACCATACATTCAATGGTCCAATGCTACAGTTCCTGACAATGCTACTATCAGCTAGTGTTGTTAGTTGACAAGTAAATATAGCATTATTATCACTGGGATTAGCTTTAAATGAATGTATAATAGGCGTTGTCCGCTGAGTAACCAACATCTCGGTATGCGGTATGTTGATGTTTGTTACGGATTTAAATAATGTTAAGTTGATGGCTGGATCAATATCCTCACCATCACATTTCAAAGTCACTACTTTTCCTTCATAGACAGCATTACCTACGTTTTCACATATTGGGTAAATAGGGTCTGGTATTTGGTAAACGGTTAACGTACCAGTTTTAGATCTTATTTCGCTACCATCCTGGAATATCGCGCATGCGTAGTCTCCCTCGTCGTCTTTTTTCACTGTGGGTATTTCAAGTGTGTAAGTTGATACCTTAGTTGTAGTAGTTATAAGAACGTCTATATTTCGATTTTGAAGACCACTATCCTGTAATATGTCCTTACCCTCAATGATTTTAGTCCCATGTTTAAGCCATGATAAATACTGTTCGTCTACAACATATCCAGATATAAAACAGGAAAGCTGGATATTTGTGCCTTCCTTTGTTGTCTTGCTTTCTGGTGGATACATGAAATCAAGGGCGTGAAAATGTCCAACAAACGTCCAAAATATAACAGCTTTAACGATATATAATACCATAGTTCCTTTTCAGATCCCAATAGTAGAATAGTTACATATGCGTGTTTCTCCTATAAACATACTTGTCTTTCAGTCTACAGTAATATGAAAGCCATCAAAATTTAAATAAGAGAGATTTACAAGTCATTACACCGTTCCTCATTATAACATATTCATGAGATCCTTCTCATTATTATTCATGTGTGGAAGGCATAATGAAATTATGTTGACGTTACTCATAAAGCACCACAAAATTACTAAATCTCAACATTGTGGTTTCAAGCAGTGGCGTTGATTGCATTTCTTTTAAGCCAGTGGTGCACACTGCGCTAACTATCATCGGCCTACGGGATTCCATGGAGACGATAATGCATGCACAACGGATCGTTTTTAATGACGATCCGTACAAACTGCCGCCAACAATCCACACATTGTAGTACCGTCAAGTGTTCATAAAGAAAAGAGATAGCTTAGTCGGCCGACGGTGTTTGGTCGTCAGCCGATGATATGCTTATCAAGATTAAATGTGCAGTATACTTTATTTCCATTCCATATAACAAAAAAAAAATTTGATTATAATCACCTAATAACAATAACCTGCTAATATCTCATTTTCCCTCGTTTACAAATTCGATATCCCAACAAAACTGTGCAACTTTGTATAATTAGGGCAGAGTATTACATCTGCTGTCTGGAGTGAAAATGTAGTGATCACTCTGTATCTCCAGATACATGGCATCCACATCTCTGTCTGTTGGAACTTGGGCGCCAAAAGATCGTCTCCATAACACTGAGTGTCTTTTATTTGGCATTGGTAACGTCAGTCGATCTTGGGGCTCAAAGTATACTTCAGGTTGAGCTACAACATTGCCCTCTTTTTTTGAACAAATGCAGAAATAATAAACAGGAATTATGATAGCAAATACAATTACAAGAACCAATACGGATACAACAGCAAGTAAAACCGATAAAGAAATACTTTTCTTTTTTAATTTTTCATTATTCGTTGATTCAATTGCGTTTGTCTTTGGTTTTTCATTACTGCCCTGGTCAGTAGGCCTACCAATTACTTTCATAGTCACGTGATATGTCACCTGATCCACACTATTCCTTGCTGTACATTTTACGATCAATCCATTGTCGTCAATGGTAACACGTAGAATGCGCATAACTTGTCCAATATCATCAATATCATAGCGATCAATATTCAAAAGCGGATCAAATTGCCATATGAATTCTGTTACTGGTGGGTTTGCATTTGTTTGACAAATAAAAATGGCTTCCCTTCCTGATAGCGTCGTTCCTGAATGTTGAATTGTGATACTAGGTTTATACCATACATTCAATGGTCCAATGCTACAGTTCCTGACAATGCTACTATCAGCTAGTGTTGTTAGTTGACAAGTAAATATAGCATTATTATCACTGGGATTAGCTTTAAATGAATGTATAATAGGCGTTGTCCGCTGAGTAACCAACATCTCGGTATGCGGTATGTTGATGTTTGTTACGGATTTAAATAATGTTAAGTTGACGGCAGGATCAACATCCTCCCCATCACATTTCAAAGTCACTACTTTTCCTTCATGGACAGCATTACCTACGTTTTCACATATTGGGTAAATAGGGTCTGGTATTTGGTAAACGGTTAACGTACCAGTTTTAGATTTTATTTCGCTACCATCATGGAATATCGCGCATGCGTAGTCTCCCTCGTCGTCTTTTTTCACTGTGGGTATTTCCAGTATATACGTTGATACCATAGGTTGAGTGGTTATAACAATGTCTATATCTCGATTTTGAAGACCACTGTTCTGTAATATGTTCTTACCCTCAATGATTTTAGTCCCATGTTTAAGCCATGATAAATACTGTTCGTCTACATACCCAGATATAAAACAGGAAAGCTGGATATTTGTGCCTTCCTTTGTTGTCTTGCTTTCTGGTGGATACATGAAATCAAGGGCGTGAAGATGTCCAACAAACGTCCAAAATATGACAGCTTTGACGATATCTAATACCATAGTTCTTATGCAGATCCCTGAACAATAGTTGAATAGATACATATGCGTGTTATTTCTATAAGCATACTTATCTTTCAGTCTACAGTAATACGAAAGCCATCAAGACTGGAAGTAAGAAAGATTTACAAATCGTTACACAGCTCCTCAATATAACATATTCATGAGCTCCTTCTCATTATTATTCATGTGTGGAAGGCAAAACAAAATTAGGTTACGTTACTCATAAAGCAACACAAAATTACAAATCTCAACATTGTGGTTCCAAGCAGTGGCGTTGGTTGTATTTCTTTCAAGCCAGTGGCGCACACTGCGCCGACGGTTATCGGTCTGCGGGATTCCATGGAGAGCATAATGCACGCACAACGGATCGTTTTTAATTACGATTCGTACAAACTGCCACCAACAATCCACACAGTTTCGTACCGTCAAGGATTCATAAAGAAGGAGATACCTTTGTCGGTGACGGTGTTTGGTCGTCAGCCGATGATATGTTTATCAAGATTTATTTAAATGCGCAGTATACTCTACTTCTATCTTTTATTTATCTTTTATTATACAGTAAATATAAGAGAACAAAATTAGATTATCAGCTAATAACAATAACCTGCTAATATATCATTAAAAAAACAAACAAACAAAAAACAAAAAACCAAACAGTGCAACTTTGTATAATTATGGCAGAGTATTACATCTGCTGTCGGGAGTGAAAATGTAGTGATCACTCTGAATCTCCAGATACATGGCATCCACGTCTCTATCTGTTGGAACTTGGGCGCCAAATGATCGTCTCCATAACACTGAGTGTCGTTTATTTGGCATTGGTAACGTCAGTCGATCTTGAGGCTCAAAGTATACATCAGGTTGAGCTACAACATTGTCCTCTTTTCTTGAACAAATACAGAAATAATAAACAGGAATTATGATAGAAAAAACAATGACAAGAACCAATACAGATACAACAACAAGTAAAACCAATAAAGAAATACTTTTCTTTTTATATTGTTTATCTTTCGTTGATTCAATTGCATTGGTTTTTCCGTTTTCCTTTATTTTAGTATCAATTACTTCCATGGTGACGTGATATGTCACCTGATCGACACTATTCCTTGCTGTACATTTTACAATCAATCCATTGTCGTCAATGGTAACAAGTAAAATACGCATAACTTGTCCAATATCATCAACATCATAACGATCAATGTTTAAAGGTGGATTAAAATTCCATATGAAGTCTGTTACTGTTGGGTTTGCATTGGTCTGACAAATAAAAATGGCTTCTCTTCCTGATAGCGTCGTTCCTGCGTGTTGAATGGTGATATTAGGTTTATACCATACATTCAATGGCCCAAAGCTACAGTTTCTGACAATACTAGGATCAGCTGGAGTTTTGAGGATGCAGGTATATACGGCATGGTTATCTTTAGGTTTTGCGGTAAACGAATGTGTAGCATACGTTTTTTCAGAACGTCGATAGATTTGGTCATTGGTAGAAAATTCGTATCCATTCCTTGACCAACTTAAATCAATTGAAGGGTTAATCGTCTCTCCTTCACACTTCAAATTTATTTCTTTCCCAGTGACGACTGTTTGAGGTACGCCGGTACATATTGGATATGGTGATCCTGGTAACTGAAAAACTGCCACCACGGCGAATTCCGACTTTAGTATTTGTTCGCCATTTTGAAAAACAACGCATGCATACGCCCCACTATCATCATAAACAATTTTAGAGAGAGATATTGTATATGAATATGCACCTACTGTTTGTTTAATGTCCACAGTTATTCTGTTTTTATCTAAACCACTTGCCTCTAATATTGTTTCTCCCTCGGATAATTTGGCACCATCCTTTACCCAAGATAAATCTTCTTGTAAGATATCGCCAGTTAAAACGCACGTAAGCTCTATATTTGTACCTTCTTGAAATTTTCCGCCGATCGGATGGATAAATTGTAGACAGCAAGCTAAACTTAAATGACATAATAACACAAGATATACTATCACTTTCATTATACTATCGAGCAATCCAGTCAAATTACTTCTACGAATATTTTCACCAACTCATTTTCCGTTGAAAAAATTCCAAGTACGATCTAGGCCTATACATTAATGCGTGTTCATTGTCATGAGTCAAACACAAAATATTATTTAGATGGGAGTAGCAGACCACTCCTTTTATGAATATTCAACGAAACATGGCCATTGTCATAGAACACGATGGTTCTGAATCAGTTGTTTTGGTTTATCATTTCTCTTAAAAAAGAAATCAAAATAATTTTGCATATAATAATAAATGCTATTTTTTCACACGCTATTCTTAAAATGTATAGCTTATATTGGTGATAATGATGACGGTGATAGTAACGTTAACATACAGTTTCTTTACATAACGCATGGATGGACGAATAAACATTTTCAGCTCAAGTGTAGGTCTACAATTAATGTATAAAATGGTGATGAAATATACAGGTGCGTTAGTTAAGTTGATTTTATATATCTCTTTCTGGGCATACACAGGATCTTCAATTTTAAAATGCCATTTAAGAGAACAAAAACGAATGATAAAATGCCAAGCTGAGTGCTATTATTTTTTGCCATGTTCCTACTCGTGGCTGCATTAATAATGTTATTAAAAACAGACTTTTTTTTTATTTCCAAGAATTAAACACGTGTTGGTCAATAATGTATCTCTTAGGCCTTCTTAGGCCTATAGTATTAAAGCTTGATTTAAAGCCATAAGGAGAGCGAAACAAAACCTGACACTAGACTGTATGATGGGCAGATCCAGCTTTGAAGTAGCTAAATAAAAGTTAAAAAAAAGGGTGATTGAGCACGGCTCGCAAGAGTAACTTAAGGAATGGTTTAGCACAGAAAATGATGACCGTTGCAGTAAATATAAATGTGCGGATATTCGCGTGAGCAAGAGTTTGTGTCGCAGCAGTGCAATTGGTCATGCTAAAATTCCTTCCTCTGTCCCGGTAATGTTTCTTTCGTTTAGTTTTTTAATCATGCAAATTCTGTGTTTTGTCCAACGACAGTGTATTCATCTTGTAAAATAAATCATCACTAAAAACATAGCGCTATTTCATAAATATCAT